AACTAATTATGTATTATTTGTGTTTTAGAATGCACATTTGGAAAGGTTTAACAATTTTTATAAGTTTAACTTGATGCCTGGATGGTGAAAGCTTATAAACACAGTACGCATGTAAGCACTATCTTGTTTTTTCAACGAGTCTATGCACCGAATCTGCTGAATTTACTTCATAAAGCCCTGTGGGAATCAGTTGACATACTGTCATAAATAGTAAAAGATGAAGAATTTGAAAGGAAAATTAAAAATAGACTATAAGTGAAAAGATAAAGATATGCATAATTACACATATTAAAAATACAACTATTCTAGTGGATTTCTATGAAGATATGAAAGGTATGTACATATTTCCATTTGTTAATTTTAAATATTTCATTTCACTCTATGGTGATGATAATAGATAATTATTGATATAGCAGAGAAAATGCACAATAAAATATAAACATTTACCTTAAAAAAACGTTTGATATTCATTTATGAGGTTCTAGAAATTATGTAAATAAAATATGAAACTGTAAGATAATAAATAGTATTTTTTATATTTCATATAAAAATCACCTTGCAGGTGAACTATTTAGAGTGCGAGTGCAAATAACTACATTAAATAACATATTTTTTATTATAAATAGTAGAAAAAAATCAAAATTAAATATTTTATTTTTTTAAACTACATACTTTTAGGAACGTTTCCATCAAATTTCAAACAATTTCACCTACTAGTTTTATTTTTGGAACAACATATAATAATAGGAGCGATAGGTCCTTAATTGATTTTCTATTTTCTCTACTACATCACCAACTCTAGCTATTATCACCAACATACAGTGCAACGAAATGTTTAAATTTAAGAAATAGAGAAAATGTACATACCAATTACTTTTTTTGTAGAATATCTTAAAAGATCTTCGTTTAATATGTGTAATTTCAAATCTTTATGTTTTCACTTATAGTTACTTTTAATTTTGACATTTAATATTTATGCTGAAACGTCACCTGATGCCAGCTGGCCATTATTACAAACTGTTCGGGAGAGACATCCCTTAGCTATGGGCAAAATGTTTTGCATGCATCCTGGGTTTATAAGTCTTGATGAGATAAAAGACAAATAATTAAACTTATAAAAATCATTAAACCTTTCAAATATGAATTTGAAAACATAAATAATAAATAATTAACTAAAATATAAAAGTAAAACCTAAATGTAATTGAACTGTCTATCAACCTAATACATACAAGATGAGAAAGTATAGTCCACTCTCAACAAGGGAATTACACTCATTTCTCCCCCATTTGAAAACAGATGTATAAAGGCACATTCCTATTACAGTAATGACTGTCAACAGTGAAATCTGCTCTTTCTATTGGTTATAAGTATGCCATTCAACTTGAAACTGTAGCTTAGTAACTCAGCTTATCTTCAACTCTAGAATTTTTCAAGTCTTTTTAATAGCTTTAGTTCTTGGAATGTCTCCAAATACGTTTACAAGAATTTCTATGTTGTACTTTGACAGTCTAAACCAAGGCAAGTCTACATTCTCACGCATTTCTCTTACATAGCTCTAAAGTGGAGATTTTTAACCACAGTTGTGATATGTGCTGAAGTTTTAATTATTCTTTCAGAGGTTTCTTTTGAAATAAATGAATAAAAACATACATAATATCAAACTTTGAATTAAAATATACTTCATAATAATAATTTCATTAAAATACACTTATAGTAAAGTGGTTAAATTCAAGTAACTTGGTAACCTGCACAGAGATGGGTTTAAAAATGGCATCATTATCATAGGGTTAAGGGTATATTTGTTACTTAAGAAATTGAATCAAAACATGGGAAACTGTATGCACCAGTATAGATAACAGGAACATTTGATAAGTGTTATCTAATGTTAAAAATGCATAATAATACCAATATGCATTCCAGTTGACCTGTATCTTAGGGACCCTGTTCACAATTTTTTATTGAAAATAATGAATATCTCTGAATGTTGATATGGCACCATTAAGTGGGTATTTCTAAATTAAAGATAAATATGCAATCCCACCACTGTAAGATGTGAGTTTTATTATCTTTGAAATGTACTTTATATATTATGTTATGACCTGAAATTTAAACTTTACATTTTAAAATTGTTCATAATAAATCAAAAGATAATCAACACTTATTCTCTTAATATTTTGTTTGAAAGAATGGCTAAAAGAATATCCTTTTATAATGAATATCATTTAAGCATATGAATGTGGCCATATTCTTACTCCCCCCATACGTTTTGACAAAATGACTTCAGATTTTGCACATTTGCTATTGACATCCATATAACATTTCAAAAAAGTTTGAAAGGGTTGTGAAAGAGTCTCAAAAATGGTAAGTCTTTGGGAGGAAATTGGTTTTAGGGGCTCTCAGGTTTGACTGAGCTGATTTATTTGAATAACAAGTAAGGAGTCCTACAAAAAAATAACCTATCTTCAGATTTCAGAAATTTTCAAATTTAATCCTGCATATAGGAATAAAATTAATTCTGAGGGCTCAACAGGAGTGTACTCACAGATTTAAATACAAACTGGCATGCGATTGTTCAAAATTAATATTTAGTATTTAGATGTTGAAATTTCTATACTGAGGCCTTTAAACTGGTTATCATAGGGTTTTTTGGAGGCATGGCTACTCTAGTTTACATGATGATTGGCATGGTCACATAAAGGATCATTTAAAATAATCATCTGTATTTAGATTTTTAAAATATTCTTACAGAAGCCCCATAATGATGGGATCAAGTTATTTTGGGAGACGATCAAGATACACTGCAAAAATTCATTTGAAAACTTAAAAAAATGTGTAAATGACCATTCAAAATGATATATGCATAATGTTTTAAGTAGTTGTCTCCTATGAATTGTCACTGGTTATTTACTTGTAACAATATATTATATTACCAAATATCATCAAAATGTTATACTGAGGAGTTACTGGTCTGAAATGAGCAATAAAAACTTGGGATAAAACACAATACTTTATAGCTTACTGTATTGGATAGTGATAAAGTTCAAACTTTCACACTATAACGCCAGTATAAAAATCTCAACATGCAAAATAATTTTAATGAACCTTGTATGTATCTTTCATTAATAAAGAAGCACCTTTCACATGGTTTTTGAGACTGAGCAGGACATATCCTATACTTACAAATTAAGTCTTTACATCTCTTAACAAAGTGTGCACAAATAGCATATGTAACTTAAAGGCTAATAATTTTCCTAAGTTCTTTTTCATTTATTAAGTTCTCTGAGAAAAGTTATAAAATGGAAGCTAAATAAGTTTTCTCACAACTATTTCATCATCAGTGTAATACATAATTATAGCTTACATGTAATAATTCCATGTCTGTTTGAGTAAACTTTTCATTTGTTTAATTGATAAACCTTTCCTAAAATTTTTGCTCTTATTTCACACCCACAGTCTATAATGACAAGACTACTTTTCCTTTCATTGCTTTTACCCAGATATAACATAAGCATGCAGAAATAACTCTTTGAATAACCACTCTTATTTATATATCTTAATCCATATGTATTATGGCCAAATCTATTAGAGTCCAATGTTTGGTATTATGCCACTTTTTACTTTTTTATCAATAAACATTAATAACTCATAAACATCACCAACTCTGAAACAAAGACATTTCCAACACATGGCACAATATCTATAATACCTTTTGACTGATAGCCAGTTTTGATGTATAAACCATTGTACTAATTTGTAGTCCCAATAATGTCATATGTTAGGCTACTTTGTTCAGAGAAATGATGTAACAGAAAAATTGCCTAAAGTAGTAAAACTAAATCAAATAAATAGTATTTATCTCACTCTATTGTATAGATAATTTCCATATGATCTCCTTTTAATAACTTAGGTAATGTATGTTCAAAAAATATAATGATTATTACCTTTGATCAAGTGTGAAACACAGCTAATGTTAATTGATGGCCTTGAGTCACAATAACTACATTTATGTTATAAAAATATTAACTTTCAAAATAATTACTTCAACAAAATAAATAAATATGCAGGAAATTCATTAAGCTTATTCATTACCTTCCTGTGCTTTTTAAATAATTGAATAATATACTTAAATGACAACTAAAAAAGCCATTCAGTCTTGACACACATTTAGAAGACTTGAGATGTTATATGAAATTTTAAATTACTGTGTAACTATGTAAGGAGGGAAGAAAGTTTTATGGTAAATAGATTGCAAGAATAATTCCAGGTTTCAAATGATATATTTATGATTGTCAACTTAAAAACATGAACATTTATAAAAATGCAGATAGTTCAATTTTACAGCTCTTTGCGTCATGAACTTGAACAATTTACTATTTTTAAACTATCCAAGTTAAAAATAAGCTACAAACTTGTTGAAAATCTACAAATTTCTGGGTTTGTTTTATCTCTTGCACAGGGAGTTGGGGTTTAATGACTGCCACAACCCAAATAATAATTCCAAAAGGAGGCCAAATACTAAAAATTATGAATAAAACTTTCATATGTTTTTTTTTACTTACTTCTTCCAAAACAGATGCTAATAATTTACATCTAAACAAAATCTTAAATCTCAACATTTCAGTTATAATTTTACTTTGGAGGAAACATACAGGGAAACATCACAAATAATTTTTGAATGTTTAGTATCACTCATTTCCTCAAAGTAATACCCATAATGGTTGGATTAACCATGAAAAATTATTAGTTTACTACAATATTGACACACACAGTTATTAACTTTGTATTTTTTTTAGAACTAATATATATTTTGAAATAAGGGGTTTAGGAAACAAATACATTATTTCATGAAACTAATTTTCACAGTGTGATGATATTTAACCTTTAGACCAGCCTGTATATGTGTGCATATAGACATATGCATCTATATACAACATTTCAGTATTATCTCGATGCTTTTGTTCTAAACAATATGCAGAATATTACCATATGTACACCTTACCCATCCATCTCAGATAGCAGCTGGTTAATAGTCTGATTTGCATATGGATGAAGTACAGAATTTGTTCTTTTTGCCCCCACGGAATCAATTTCATCAATGAATATAACACATGGTGCTCTCATTTTGGCAACATCTGTATAAAGATTGAGAAAGTAAGTAAAAAAGCAGCAAATTTGTGTTTTAAGCAGATCTTACTCCTAATACGTTTTGGCAAATATCAATTAATGTATGAAAAATTATATATATTAAATTTGTTTAAACATTCATCTGTTACATATATACTTACTATTTCAATTGAGTTATATTAAAAAGTCCTGGGTTCAACTTTCCTTTTCATTCAAATTCAGTTTAACAGAATGTTATTTGTTTACCATACAGAAAAGTTAAAATTTTTTCTAACACTGAAAATGTATTTCCGATTCGCACATACGTCCCTCTCACACAAAGCTATCTCAATGTTTATCTGCCCTCTAAGCAGTGCTAAAAAATCTTCATAATCAGTGCATCAATCTATATACCCCATCAATTTTCCATAATTTCTGAACATGTACATATCATGTGACTACTTTCCACCAATAGCATTATGCCACCTATATTGGAACAGCTAGCTTCTTCTGCTATTCCCACTCAATCCTCACTTTCAAGAATTGGCAGGCTCTAAAAGTAGAACACCGGCTGTTGGGAGGAAAGGTGGAAAGTGTTTGAATGGAGATAAGTACCTATTGGAAATACATAACTCCTCTCAAACAAAGCTAGAGTCCCACAAAGATGGAGAGGACGGTTTAGGCGCATAACATAGATACCAAATGGAAAATGACTGTCCAGAATGAACAGGTGTGCTCAGAGATGAAAACAAAGCACACTTGTGGGGTACTGCACTACTTAAGGAACAGATGTGCTCTTCGTCGAGGAAGTAGGAAATTAATCCAAAATTGGTGGAAAAGGAAATTACTTGCACCAGCCTAATATGTTCTGAGACGTGAAAGCTGTAGTAACATATGAAAATAATTAGATATATATACATTCCCAACCTCAACCGAACAAATAAGGTTCCATGACATGTCCTCAGCAGTAAGAGGTTGAGGATAAAAAAATCTTGTAACATCAACAGTGTGGTTAGGGCATGTAGACTGTATTATACATACCAATCAACCCCAACTGTAAGTAAACATATTGCCATACATCAAGCAACTGTAATTACAAAGATGAGGTGAGCTTTTGGTTGAAACCAGACAAACTTCCAAAACTACAGTAGGAACAAGAAGTACAATAAACTGAACCCAGCATTACAAGGTCGTGGCTTTGCTTCAACTCAACCATAAGATGATAAAAACCCTATGACCTGAGCACTTTCGAAAGGTGGTCCTTACAGGGGCAAACATTTCGAGTATGCTCCTGAAGAAGAAAGGACCACCTTTCAAAAATGCTCGGGTCATAGGGTTTTCATCATCTTGTATCAAGACTTCCTGAACCTACGTGTTTTTCTGACATCATGAACTCAACCATAAGAACAGGGTAATAGCTGTAACCAGTATTATGGGCAAAATCATAACTCATTCAACCATAAATGCAGGAAAGAGACATCCTGCATATGGAATTACAAGGAAGACATGGAGCATTCATCTAACTGTAGGAACAGGATGCGTACATCCTGTTGCCAGTATGATAAGGCAGATGAAGTCTCCCAAGCACAAACTTAGTAGCAGGGAAGGAACCTCCTGCAACTGAAATTAACAAGAAGAGAGGTGTCTACTGCACACAACCATAGAAACATGGCATTGTCATCCTGAATCTTGTATTACAAGGAGGATCCCGTATAGGCAGGACCCACTCCAACCGACATGTGTCCACCTGGGAAAAAGCATCCAGAGGAAATGGTAAGAGGGAAATCAGCATTTCCCTCTTCTCACTGAGTGTATAATGATGAATAGCTAGGGCAAAGTAAATTTGAAATTCACTCAGGAGGAAGCCTCCACAGTCTACCACCCCAGCAACTGGGAAGTGGTAAGGGTCAGAAGGGATAGGCAGAAATCCCATTCTGCTTTGTTCATGAAGTCCAGGAGTGACGGTCCAGCACAGATTGAAAAGCGAACCAACCCTGAGTTATTCAATCAAAGAGTCAGAAGGGATGGGCAGAAATTCCATTCTGCTTTGCTCATGCAGTCCAGGAGTGACGGTCCAGCATAGATTGAAAATGATTGACATCTAGTACATATGTATACATACACCACTGAGTAAGCCATCAGTGGTCTTGCAGTGAATGTTATATTACAAACAGTAAGTATTGCAGTATGAGGCAAAGTATACCTGTCAAGGGAAAACACATGCCACAGAATAGGATCTGTATAGATGTGGTTAAAACTAGGTTTGCTGAAAATAAAACATAAATGAAAGGAAATTATAAGACTTACCCCAGTTAAAGGCAACTGTACATGTGTAGAACTACCACAAGAGGGAGACAATATCCACCAGAGGAAGGTACAGCTAGATCATGCATATAATGAGTGATGAAAGTATTAGGAGTAGTCAATATTCCAGCCTCAATGATCTTCTTCAATGGACGGCGAAAGCAATAAGACATAGATATGATGATATGACAAATATGATGAGAAGAAACATTGTGGAGACAGTGACCTTCCATGGATAAGTCCACATATGCCAGCCTAATGAGTGGTTGTATCCAACCAGTTAATGTGACAGAGGATAGATCAAGGAAAATGGAAGGGTTCCAGGGAATAAAAGTCTGGAACTCGAACCTCAAAAGGAGGCAGGACGTGCTACATAACAACGTAAGGAGTGAGCCAGATAAGGAAGTGGATCAGGACTGAAATGGGTCTGAGGAAGGTAGGAACATAGTATGACAGAAGAGGAATGGTACAGGAAGCAGGTAACATTAAAGGCAGAAATATCTGATCGATGACACCTGCAAGCAAGTAGGAGATGGAAAAAGGTCTTGAAGAGAGATGGTAGATGGAACATGAAGACAAAGGTTCAAAGGAAAGATGGGAAAAGCATAAAGGACCACACAGAGATCCCAATCAGGGAAATCAAAGGAACGTGAAAGGCAAATAACTCAAAAGGAGAGGAAAAAGAAGGGAAATGACAAGGGAAGACAAGACTAGATGTGACCTGGAAAACAATAGGTGTTCGACAATGCTACCCAATAACTAGACATGATTGAAGTGGATATGTCTTGTCAAACAACCAGGAGAAGAGTAGGGAAAGATGAGGAATGGAAGGTGGGGAGGTCAGAAACCACGTCCAAGGGACCCAACCCTCTAAATATGAGATTGTGAACAGATGTAAAACCAGGTAAGGTGGAGTAAGCAGGCCCAGTCAGGGATCCGAGGAGAAGTTTTGCTGATCAAGGAGTTTGCATTGAAGGGAATGCATAGGAGAACTTCCAAGGAAGCCCACATCCCCAAAAAGATTGAACATCTTGAGTTGTAAGAAAAGTGAGGTGATGTGTGAACTGCTTACTCTAAACTCAAATACAAAAAGGTTGGGCCTGATTGAGATTGGAATAGACCCCTCCCCCCAAATGAAAGGGGTAAGAATGTACTTTCCCACTGTAATCAGGAATCCCACCCATGCTACTTCCCGTAGGAGCAGAGGAATGTGATCCATTGACTGTGAATGGGAGTAAGTAAGCAGGAGCCATTCATCCATAGAAAGAAGTGGGCAAAGACTCATAGAGCGAAGATGTCGGGCAAGAGTTTGTACCCCCAATAAAAAATTTTAAGAGTTGAGGTTAGTCTAAAGAGGCCTTGAACTGGAAAACCCAACTGAGAGAAAAAACAACTATTGATGAAATGGGGAAGAACTCAAAGTATGCAACAATAAAGAATGTGCAAACCAACTAGAATTACTTAGAAAACAGATTAATAATCAATATCTAACTTACAATGCCTCTAAACTAACCTAGATAAAAAAGGACACTTAAATAAGTTCTACACTGATGAAAATTAGGATGATAAAGCAAATAGTTAACAATGACAAAAAAAAATTATACTCAAATTGAACAATGAATAAGATGTTACTAGTAGTAATGATATGTAATGTACAAACAATCTAAACTTACCTAGTTAAAGTACTTATTAATAACGAACTAACAAACCCACGAAATTTGCTTAGGCTATAAAGTGCAAAACAATTAAATTTACCCCCAAAAAAACAAAGTAATAATTAATGTCCAACTTACAATTCATCTACAGTTAAATTAGATGACAAAGGACACATAAATATCTCACTTACCAAAGTCCAAGCACTGATAACGTGAAATACTTAATTCTTCCATGTGTACAAAAGGGCAAAGCCCCACAAAGGGCATCTGTGCCACACCTACCATGGGTATATCAATCAGGTATGAAGTGTATCAGGTGAGAAACTTACCACAGATTCCCTGGGAGAATCTGAAGCAGAAAGAAAAGAACAATTCTCCACCAAAGTGAATGATGTGGTGGTATGGCAAATGGTGGAAGGTGAAATCTCCTGAAGAGGAGTGTTATGTGACTGACCAAAACAAAAAAGTGCTAAAAAAAGACTCCAAATTGTCTTCTCATTGATTGCATTCTTCCTCCGAAACATTGTCACATTGAAAAAAAGAAGAAATTGCTGGCCAAACGTAAGAACCTAGCTCCCTGTAATATAAGGCCTGTACCTCCTCTACAGATAAAGTTGAATATGATTCCTGAGAAGTCGTACCAGTAGCATTTTCAAATGTTACAGGAATTTTCGTAGTCAATACATTGACCGCAATTTCATACTAAGATCTCTTGTAATTTGGTAAGAAGAAAAAATAAAAAAATAAATGGTTGAAACAAGTGAATGCAAACACAGTAAAATAAAAACTGTTGAAAAAAAAATTGAAATGACAAAGAAGCACATACATAAATGAGAGCCACATGCAAAAAAAACAAACATCTAAACAATACATACAAACAATAAAGTGAATATTGAGAAGGAATAGCAGAGGGAGCTAGCTGTGCCAATAAAGGTGGCACAATGTTATTGGTAAAAAGTAGTCACATGATATGTACATGTTCTGAAATGGCATGAAATTGATATGGTATATAGACTGGAGAGCTGATCGTGAAAATTTTTTAACAAGGCAGAAGAAGATTGAGATGGTTTTGTGTGTGAGAAGGTAAGACCCTATTAGAATTGATACATTGAAGTGAAAGAATATTATTTAAATGTTTTCTAACATTACCAGAGCCATGCATAAATAAGTGCATAAAATCCAAACAATTTAGAGCTAAAAAACCTGTATTTTTTATAGAATGCAAGTTTTTATAAAATCTTTGAAATGAAAAATATACAATAAAAACAATATAAAATTCACTCACTGAAGAGATCTCGCACTCTTCTAGCCCCTTGCCCAACTAATATCTCATCAAATTCTGGACCTGCAGCATGGAAAAATGGAACATTGGCTTCTCCAGCAACAGCCCGTGCTAGTAGTGTTTTCCCAGTACCAGGTGGACCAACCAGCAACACACCTAAAAAAAACATTACTATTATTTAGATATATAAAATTATATCAAAAAAGGTATTAATGAATATGTCAAAATACAGTCTTTAAAAAGTTCTCTAAAATTGAATTTAAACAAACAGCATACATATATAAAGTAAACCAATATAGGGTAAAAAAAAAGTTAACCTCTCTCTTTTTTTTTTCTTGAAAATTTGATACAGAAAAGTTGATGTGCATCAAATAAAACAAGCCACAATGGCTTTCTTGGAGCATTTGGGATATAACCAGCACTGACATACAGCTGTTGAGGAAAGAATGAGTCATACAACGTTTGGAAGGTATCTGACCATCACCAGCAGTGAATGTCAGAAAGGAAGGCACAGCAAGGTTCTGTGTTAATTTTAGATGGATGAGTGTGGCAACTGAGTTGATGCTATTCTATTCCCACAGAAAGACGAATATCAAGAAGAACTGGAAGATGCTAGCTGGTTCATCAATTTATACCTAGCCTCTGGATACTAGCAACTCCAGTTGGATAACAAAAGCAGGTCCCAAACTCCTTTCAGCACTGCAGATGGTCTGCACAAATTCTACATCAATGCATTAGGCCTTTATAACTTGCTTGCTACTTTTGAACAGCTGATGGAGCTTACACTGAGAAGGGCGCAATGGGAAAGACTGCTAGCCTATGTTGACAATCAATATGTTTAGTTGCATCACATTCATCTACTAGGCATGATTTTTTTCAGCAAATGTGAGAGGCAAGCTTGAAATTAAAACCAGAGAAGTGTGCACTTTTATGTATACAAATAAAATTCTTTAGTCAAAATGAAGGAAGACCCTGAGTAGAGCACTGCACTCAGATATTAACCACAATCCATGACAAAACAAGAGGTCTGCATGTTCATAGGTTTTGCTTTGTACTATCATTGATTCATAGCTAATTTTTCCAAGATTGTTTCACCACTGTCTGCTATGACTAAAGCTAAAATGCATTTTAAACAGACTGAATACTGCTAACATGCATTTCAGTCACTTTAGTAAAGTTCCAGTGTTAGCATACCCAAGACAAGACTGTCCATTCCTGCTCAATACTAATTTCAATGATAGTGGAAACAAAACTGTATAGCTGTAGGCACAGGACAGCTTGGAAAGTATAATTGCATACACTAGTTATATATTGATGACTCCTGAATGCAAATACTTTATGATTAACAAAGAACTGCTTGCAGTTGTAGTACTTATGAAACATTACTTGTATGCCACTTAGTTCACTACTGGTTGGATGAGAAAAGGGATATGAGCTTTATAAATCAAGAGAAAACTGCATCTTGGATCACAACATTTTAAGTGTATGACTGAATCCACATGATAAGAATAGTGACAGACTGTCTTGCCAGATCATGAGACATTGTCCGCTCAATGAATGTTCTCATCCTTTTCACACTGTGGAGTAAAAATTACTGTAGCAGCAGTGACAGTACATAATAATCCACTGGTTGATAGATACCACAAATATCCCATCACAAGCTCTGGAAAGAGCAACTAAAGGAGTCAGATCTAGCATCAGTGCTATTGCCATGCAGTAAGGAAAGCATGACTTCTGCAGATTAAGAAACATAGCATGGATGCATGTAAACTTTTGCATTTATATAAGAAGTTACAAGCGCAGAAAGGGTTACTATACTATTGTTATAAACCACCAAGATGTAATTCTAAATCTGGGCTGCAGCTAGTGGTCTTTATAGCTCTTACACAGGATACTTTAGACTTTGAAATGTATAAGAACTGGAGGTCACAAAGGTATTACATGTACATCAGGGTTTGAAATTAGCAGGGGCCCAGAAACGAATGGCACCCAAAAATACTGGTGGTCCTGTAAAAAGTGTCTGCTAGGAAGCCCCCACAGGCCCTTAAAATTAAAAGAGTGATTAAAAGATTGACTCCACATACGTTGATCTAAGAGCTTAATGAAGCAGGACTTATGACAAACTATGAACGGAACTTCCCAAATTTACAAACATTTCTCAGTCACGTATCCAAAAATGTTATCATTATGAATACCTGCGTATTCAAAGTAAATTCATCATTTGTTTCAGCTGTAAGTTCGAAGACTGTTGCTATCACTCTACACATTTTGAACTAAACCATTTTCTAAACCAAATGATGTATTCCAACCAAAGGTCAAATAAAGTGACAGCATTTGAAAATTTTTGTTCGGAAGAGGAATATTCAATTCAGTTGCCAAAAGATTTTATTTTTAACTAGCTGGAGTACCAATCGCCTGGATGGAAGTTATGTAAATTCATGATTAATAAAAGGTTATTTTAGGATATGAAAATTTGCTTCTCTTACATATAATTGTAAAAAATTCAAAAATTCCCATAAAAAACTGCAAACACAAAATGTGAAACCACAAATTTGCATGCATCTACCCATAAACCTCCATACCAAATTTGGTGAAGATCCATTTGCAGGGGTAAAGTAGTGGTAAAAACTGCAAAAACTCCTATAAAAATTACAAAACCCAAATTGAAAATTTGTATGTACCCCGCATGGTCCAGTGAACCTCCTTACAAATTTTGGTGAAGATCCATCCACACCCTGCAAAGTAGTTACTCTTTAGAAATAACAGTGGGATTGGCTGTTGCATTATAATACCCACACAGCTGAAAGGGTGAGAATTTGGCACAGGGTTTCGATCCCATGAACAGCAAATTCTAAGTTCAGCATCAAAAACCACCAGACTATGTCAAGCCTCATTAAGTTGTATTTTCCATTTTATTGATTTTATCATTGTAAAGGCTATTACTTTTATGCAACATTATTCATCATTGTTTAACTTTTGCTTCCCATGTTGTATAGAATATTTTGTAAGGTGCACAAAATAATTTATTTGTGGAATATGTCTGACATACAGTTTTTAATTTTTATTTTTCATACATATTTTACTGTATTTAATAGTTCAGGTTAGGTACCAACTGAGGGCAGATTGAAAACAACGGAAGATATGATACCTGGAAGTACCATATTTTCCTTTCTCTCTCTTTTAGTTTAAAAATGTAGTCTTCAAATTCGGTGATGAGGAACCCACTTTGAGACTAATAATGGCTGGAGACGGCTTGGATGGATAATGAAGAAAAACTTTAATATAAGTTTAACATAACAGCAAATGTACAACGTTTCGACAAGGTTTTATCATCATGATAGATATACGTTCATATTAATTTAAAGATTTCAGTATTTTTGATATAGATTAACTTGATATATACAGTTTCAAAGCACATGCAAAATAATACAATGTGATCTGGATCAGTTGATGAATTTGTTAACGTGTGCAATTATTTTATGGATATTTGAAATATGACTTTACTGCAGTGTAGGGTTAGAAATTGAAAGTTTTGTATAATTTTTGTGCATGTACACACATTAGAAAATATTGCTTTAATACTTTACCATATGAGAAGCGTACTATGTTAAATAATATTCCATTTTACATCTAAAGAAATTCTATCATACATCTATCACCAACACCCTGGGGTGTCAAGATATCTCTTCTAAGTCTTGCAACAGTATCTGGTCATGTGACCTCTTTGTTCCATACAGTATATATATATATATATATATATCTGTGTCAGTATTAACTACTTGTACCTGATGATGACAAAACCTTGTCGAAACATTGTACATTTGCTGTTATATTAAACTTATATTAAAGTTTTTCTTCATTACCCATTTAAGCCATCTCCAGCCATTATTAAAAATGTAGACTACTTAGTTAGCCTAAAACATTCAAAATTTTTTAATATAATAAGCTTTTAAACACTAACAAGACTTTCAGTGCAGGAAATCTGCTTTGTGCAATAGTGACCTTATTTCATGTGCTAGTTACACATAATTAGGAGGAGTATCCATTAATGTATTTTTAGACATTTTTCGGAGATGATATTGATGGACATTTATTTTCAAACCTTGCATCTGCTTCCTCTGATAGCATTGTCATGTTTAATTTTAGAAATGTCTGGAGGTTAAACTCTCCTTACTTTCATTTCATGCAGCCAATGACAGGTTGTGTCTGTAAAAGCTGTGTAAATCAAGGTTGCTCTAATTCTAGCACATGAAAATGAGAGTCACAGTTTAAAGATAATTGCACATCTAATAATAATAGCACTAATAATAAATGTAACAGTAGATTACAAAGTTGTAAAAACTTGTTTCTTCTAACTTTGTTTATGTGTTTGTAATCTGCACTTTATATGGTTAGGCTCTTTTACAATTTGGTGTTTTTTTCACATAACAATGTTTTTGTTACAGATATTACTTCTTTTTTTCAAACACATAGTACATACAGTGCTATTTGAACTGTGCATTCAATGTCACAGGCTTTGACTGTTGTCTGCCAAACCTTGTGTGTAGAAGCTGCTACCAACTATTTTATCTGATTTTCAGTTTTCTCTCCAAATAATGCCAAGCCATGCAACTGGTGAGGTTCAAGTTCAAAAACAGATACATTATAAGCAATGTAAAGTGTAGTTTGGTGGTTGAGATTCTATCCTACCCTCAGACACTTTTTATGTTTTCATTTCTTAAAATATTAATGACTAAAACTTCAAAGCAAGTGCATTCACTGGTGTATTTTTTTTTATGACAAACGTAAAATTTTATGGATGTTTAGATGTTGTGCGATAAAGATACAGTTTCAAAAATTACTAGATTTGTTGGAAAATAGCATGAAGAGAAAGAAAAGTATATTTTCACCATATTTACTTCTCTTACTGTATGACAGATATTGATTTTTTTTCACATTTGACGTAAAATTGTTCCAAACTACATATTAAATATGGAAAGGTACTTTTGGCTGATGCAACACAGGTGTGTTAATACCCCCAAAGCAGCAAAACAATCTGTGCTGTGTAGAAAGGCACCAATAATTTTCTGCCAACTTTTTTACACAACTCTCTCAGTATTTGGTTTTTTGAATGTTGCACAAAACTACTTCAGGACTATTTGCACTAGCCATCCCTA